GGCCAGTAAAGGAAAGCTTTTCCTTTTCAGGAAACCTCGATCCACTAGACAAACAACGAAAATTAGCTTACTCAGATCACATCTCTATCGCAAACAAAACTGCTATGGTGTGTTAATTTGCATGTTGTTTTTCATTTCGGTAAGGTATCGATAACAACGGAGCAAAAACTAGGCGGGAAATTGCCATATGACCACCGTGTCAATATTTTAAATCGAAAAAAGGAAGAAAACGTAGTTAAAAAGTATTGCTCGAAATGTTGGGACCTTCTGAAGATTCACTAAGTAAATAATTACCTTGAGGATCAGGAATTGCATCCTTGACAGGAGGAATATCCTGTACGAGCTCCACCTTTTTAACCTCTTTCATAGCTGCTTTTTCTTCAAGAGATTCCTTGATTTGTTGTTGTTGATGTAAAAGGTCATCTTGTGTCTCGCACCTCGCTGGGACATCGTGATCCACAGAAAAAGTCGAAGAACCACTGCTTGATTCGGAAACAGTCTGTGGAAAGTAAATAGGAAAACATCTTACTCAAGCTCAGAATTTCGAATGTAAAAGGATCCTTGGATATAAAAAAACTCGCAAATAAAAATTTCCTGGGCGCGCGAGTATCGGAAATAATAATTTCATAAAATTTTATAAAACGGAAAAAAATGTTTATGTAAGCAGCTGTTGATGCCAAAAATAACATTTCTTACATTAATTAAAAATGCTGTTCATATTTGTGAATGTTTTTGCTTTCCTTACCTCGCTTAGATCTGATGTGTGATTTGCTGACTGCTTCAGCTGTTTTAATTTTGCGCGTAAAGTATGTTTCTGATGAAAAGAGAAGGCTGGATGGTGAGCGGACATGGTCATCAGCAATGACAGATCTGTGAAGAATTCCTCCTCAGCCAGACTTGAAGGTTGAAAGTCATTCAGAATTCCGAACATCACGGCAGCGGCTTGTCGATTGCTAGAGTGAAGCAAAGCCAGTGAAACACACAGCTTCCGTCGGACGTGAACATCGTGCAAACACGACAAACAACTCAAATCTGTTGGATTATTCGCCGTACTTTCAGGTTGCCGAAATGCCGGGTAATCTCTCTGGACTTGGGCTTCAATAAACGTGCTCAAAAATCGGATTTCCCAAGGTATACAGCAGTCTAATAAATTACACATCAGGTCGATACGATCATCCGCACAAAGTCCTTTGAACCATGATATAACACTTTCTTTCTGAATCATTGCACAAGGCAACTCTCAGTGTGGTGAAGTTCTCCCAACTCAGGAGCTGATTTGTTTATGCCGTGAGTAAGTGAGCATTATTGAAAGGTATTTCAACACTACCCTTCTAATTATCAACTTACCGGTAAATGCAACCACAAGTGCCGCAACGTACTAATGGATCCTGGGAACTACAAATTACTCTCAACTAAGGAACCAATCATAAAATGTGTTCTATGTGATTATCTGGATAAGTAACCAATAAAAATGCGCTTTTTATCTCCAAACTCGTCAAAAGACCATTATACTATATTTACAGGCAGTGACAAACCTGCCGATCGGCCCGCGGGTCAAACGAAACGGCGCTGGTTAAAATTAGAAACAACCATTCCTTATACCACGCCTTTTATGGTGTTTGGTGAATATTTATTACAGCTCGTGCAGTTCCCTCAGCGTTACTGCACGATTAACAAACTAAGCTGACATCCTTGAGAGTGAAAATTCCATGCAATCCCCATCAGGAAATCCTTTAAGTTATCTCAGCTTCAATTGCTTAAAACCTTCAAAACCTTAACCTTTGACACGCACGCGGTATAACTGCCATTGCCATCTGCTTCACTGTACTGCAGGCTGGGTTTTTATGCTCGCCCTGTGGGAAAACAACCCCACACGCACGAGCGCGGCTTGTGACCAAAATGCTATTTTGTTTCACTGTACTTCCATTGTGTTACAATGAGCCAACAAAATACCGTTGTAAAAAATATCGTTTCATTTTTCTTACCCTGAAGATGTCATTAAGTCAAAAACGGTTGGTTTTTTACTGTTCTATTCTTTGAACATATCCTTTTAGCCTTATAAAAATTAGTTGTAAAGACAGTGTAAAGAAATCAAAAGTACAACAAAAGTGCTCTTGCTCTCGTGATGAGTTTAGGAGTGTTTCCTTTTACGTGAAATCATGTTATATCAGTCTTCAGTTTCAGCAGGTTTGGGTCGGTTTGCGGGGGGACTTGCTGACATTTGCTGTGTTTTGTTTTACTTTCGTGCCCTTTGTTCGAGAAACGAGCATATGTTTCCTCTGATTGTTACGAGCATATGTTTCCCCGGCTCGTTTGTATGTTATTACTGTTCACCGAATAAACATTTCCTTGTTACAAAGCCGGTTCACCTAATTTGCCGGCTCATTTTCACTTCTTTGTAGTTCTTAACACTTGTCGTGATTACCTTGATTCAGGAAGTTTGGCTGGCGATGTTCATCATGAACTACTTTGGAACTGAAGGAAATATCGCGAGCTCTTGTAGGAAATTAAGAATATTCCCTCTGTGTTACGCCTAACATTCACTATACTGATGAGAAGTAATATTTTTATCACGCACTCGGAGATCGTTTCTAAATTGTTTCTTTGAAACTGTAAATTTGCAAAGTTTAGTCATAACTATCTCACATGGCTGTAATAGTATGTAACATTCTATCATATCAGTCGTATTGCATCAGCCAAATTAAATTATACTGACTTTCCAGCAGCTTATGCGATATTCTACTCAACCAAACTCATAAAATCATCTCGAATTCGATGTTTCTTTTTCATCAGGCAAATATCTCGGTTACTCAAGTCTACTTGGCTTCTGTACTTTGAACGACTCTCAGCAACAAAGGAAGCCCTTTGGTATGAAGAGAGCATTGTTGCGTTCAACATGCTCTCTCAACAAACGCGTGCCAAAATGTAAATATTTACGAACTTCCTCAGTACATGAGGTGTGTCAGGAGGTGTGACTACAGCAGATTAAACATATCTTTGGCCCTGTGGTTAGTGTTTGCATGCGCTATTACAAGAATGTTTGTTCACAGGCTAAATGTCGTGTCAGCTGATGTGTTTAAACTGCGGCAGTTTAGAAAATGATAAAGAGGATACACGATAATTCTCAGTGGTGTTTACATCCGATCCCACCAAGCCAGACATGTTTATAATACATGTGGAGAGGGACATTAAGAAAGCACGGCATCTCTACAACTAACAATGACTCCTTTATTTGCTAGAGGAAAGCCGTGTTCGTTTTCCCGGGAGGAGGGTAGAAGTTGCTCCTTCGAAAATTTGCTGAGACTGTAACTTCCCATTTTTAAAAGTGAGACCACAAAATACAATTTTTCGTACTTTGTTCTTCTTATTTCAGTTATTCAGTCTGAAATTCGTGTGTTTTCGAAGGGTTTAAACTCGAACATGACTGCATATCAAATCTTCCACGCTTCGCGCTGTATTTTGTGCTTCAAGAGATATTTTGATAGCATTTTATCAAGCCCAATTTAATTTCCTTCGGACATTTCTTCAGTCACTCTTGTTGGCCTATGTTTGAAAAGATCCAGATAAAAACTGAAGTTGAAATCTATGATTATTTTAGACTTAAATGGCTCGAAAGCCAAAAAATGCTATCACAATTTCTCTGGTCAGGAGCACCTATACATAGTATATACAAGAGTGTACTGCCCCTCTCCCCCCCCTGCCTGGTTGAGTTTCCAGGGCCCACCCCTTTCTTAACCTTCCTTTCAGCCAAGAATGTTAGGTGTTCCTCCTCGATTCAGACAGAGAGTCTTGTAGAATTTCGTAAAAGAGTCTGTTGTTTGTCAACCAGGTTGATGCGACAGAGCGTCAGTTTTCAAAGCACGTTAGATGTGGTGTGAGAATCGCGTGTCACCAATCAAATGGCATGTTTGGTAATAAATAAGTGTCTGATCATTTCCCTTGATCACGTAATGCTGCTGTTATTTCGTGCGCAAGGGTCAAAACGTACCTCAACCCAACAAACATCTGCAGTTTATTTTGTAATCATGTAGAGCTCACACTTTCAATGTTCACCACAGTATAGGTATTTATTACATTCTCTTTGCTGGTTTTGCTTCAGACGATTGGTGTCCACGTTGTCATGGTTACGTAGTAAAGAATGTAACTTATTTGTATTCGTTTTATTAAATACTGAACCTTTCCTTGAATTTATCGACAAGCCGATCAGGAAGATGCAATATGTTGGGCATGATAAGACCGACTGTTGGCTAATCTTCATCCTGATTCTTGGATAAAATCTGTCGATAAGAAAGATCCCCATCATATGCAGTTATCTCCTGTTGCGAGAAGTATGTCACCGAAGATGAATTACAAAATGACTGAATAAATTTACTGAAAATGGCAGGTTTCTTTGTCAACTGCAAAGCACACCACCATCTACTTTTGACTGGTAGACAATTAACATAGCAATGTTGAATTGTAAGAAACTTCAATCAGTAAAGATATCTCCATAAAAAATAATTGTAAAGGAAAAACAGATTTTACGATTGTCTACAAAAGATTAGAGGCTTTTTCACGTTGCTGGGAAATTTGATATGAAAAAGCACTTTGGGTGTTCAAAGTCCCTCAGTTTGATTCGTGCACGTTTTAAAGCCACTTTGCAAGTCACGATTTCGTGTGGGATTCTCGCGTGCCGCACTCAAGACCTCAAAATTCCGCTTGCTCTGAAGCACTACAGTTAAAAAACAACTTATTTGGTTTGACTTGATGTTCAGCTCGAAATAATGGCTGATATGCTTGAACGGAAATTATCCAAATAAAGCGAAGAACAACGAGAAAACAGCCATTCTTTCTTTCGCATTGGTGGCAGCTGATGAAAGAAGTTTGTTTTCTTCAATTTTACGTCAGTCTCGGGGGTTAAACAGCTCACGGGTCACGAAGCTCAGTAGGAAGGCTTTCAAATACTCATTACATAGTATTAATTTCAACAGCGGCTCAGTGAAAAAGCATGCCTGGGTCAAATGCTCCGAAAGAAAGAACCTCCCGAAAAGAGCGACCTCAAATATAATTTGGCTTTTTATAAGGAACGATAGAAATCATCATAGATACATCAAGCTTTATCAAACTACTCATGATCACTTTTTATGACCCTTGCAACATATATTGGTCTATATTGTGCTGATTCGTGTTTATCCTTTTCATCTCTATTTATAGGACAAAGAATAATTCTTTTCAGCTGTGTTTAGAATTAGTCAAAAAGTTCCTAAGTGTTTAAGCTGCCCGAAAATAGCCACCCCTTAAAAGAAGAAGCGAATCAAACTGCTAAGTTTTGTTCTGAAGAGTCGAAGTTTCAAATTTCTGCACTTTTTAATGATATCTCGCTGAAGATGTTGCAGCTTGCTGTCTCTTGTGCCGGTAATGTGTGTGTTACTTGAGCAGAATATGCGCCGAAGTGGGTTTCTTATAAGTAGTTTTTTTAAAACACATTTCAGAATAAAAACTAGCGTTTTTTATCGCTAGTTTTTATTCTGAAGTGGGGTTTCATAATCTAATTACAGATTCTGGCTTCACAGCCATGTGTTTGGGTCATAAATGGCGCCTGTGTTTTATTTTAACGTTAGAAAAAAAAAAAATCAAGATTTTGTGTTCAAGTTGGCATCTCCGACTAAGCTATTCTGAAATAACCTTTTCTTATTCTAGAAAAAAAAAAAACAGTCGCAAAACACGATCTGACACCGGTAATGAGCGCTTCTTCTTCCAGACTCCCCATTTCTTTATTAATTTGTACCAGATTATCCTGCGAATTTGCTACATAAAGATACGTGACGAAGTTCACCGGATAGTCTTCCTCCAACATAACTCCCGATCGACGTAACCAAGAAATTACATCAACTGCAAGTTGTCACAAAGCATATGTAACAATGACTACACATATATACAGTCACAAATCTGCTCTTTGTACTTCAGATATCCAATGGGGTCCAACGTGAAGAAACCGCCTAGCTAGTAACTAATGTAGGCTGGTAGCCGGTATTAATTAGCGTCATTATCGCTGATTTTAATCACTCAACACCAATTGAGGAATCACGCTAGTCTAGTCTACCTGCGTGGGTGTCCTTCCGGTGGGGAGCGGAGATAACGGGGAAAAGGAGATCTACCCCTGTCCCCTGCTGCTCCCTTTCTCATTTTCTCCCTCCCCGGCGCTTTCCCCAGTTGTTAAAATATTTCCGCCGTTCGTGTCGATTTGTGTCAGGAGTGAGCGATATACATATAAAGCACCCTTGCTTAGAGGGATTTATATTCAATACTAAGTGTCAAATATAAGCCAGTTTCATAGCTTTTTTTTTTCTATTGTGGAGTTGAATGGTTAAAAGCCGTTACATGATTTTCACGATTGGTAAGGTCGTCTGTAACCTTTTGTTTTTTTAGACAAGTCGTAACAACATACAGGGCTTTGAGAGGAATGGTTCTTTCTTTTTTTCATAGTGACGAATGAATAAAATCAAACTTTAATATAACTAAAAATGTGTTGAATGAAAGGTTTTCCTTACTAAAAGGAGCCAGGCTGATGATGAATAACAATCCCAGCAAATTATGAAGTCGCTAGCTACATTACGTAACATTTTAATATTCAATATCTGTCTCAAAATGAAATATTCCTTTCTTAAAGTAACGACGCCACTCCATCATAACGAACAAATATGATTCCAGAGAATTATAGAATGGTTTGTTTGTTTGTTTCCATTTCATTTTTTATACTGACTAATATTTACAATTGTTCTTGGGGAATTCTGACCTTCTTCCTTTTGGCTTTTTTTTTTCTTTCCAGCTTTTCTACAGTTCTTTATGTTACATTTGACTTTTTTTTTTACAACACAACAGAATCATTCCATATCAGGCTGAACTCGATGCTTCTAATAACATAGGCCCGCAATGTGTACGAAAAGCTATTTTCAGTGAATTTTGTTAGCAATGAATGGTTGCTTATTGATGCATCCACAGCCTAGAATGTTCTTTTCTTCCTCACGCATTTCATCTAATACAGCAAAGAACAACCCAATCTGGGAAAATAATTAGATGATGAAGAGCCTATGAGACTAAATCTGGTGGAGGTCAAATGGCGGGTTCATCTCGGCGGCGGAAGGACAATTTTTGGAGTCAAATTATGTCTAAAATTGGACAATCAAGTTGTTCTTCCTAAACCCTGTACGTGATGTTTATAAGAATGGCATTCCAACAATTAGATCCTTAGAAGGACTACTATGAACGCCTTGAGGGACAACGTCTAGTCTGATATAGCGTTTTATTAAAAACTGGAACATTGGATAATGCAATTCAAGAGTTTTCATTGGCTTAGCCACATGGTATATGAGCCATTATACCATGCTTTATAAATATGAGAAGCGTGCGCGTAATTTTTTGGTTCGTATATGTTTTTATTTTATTTTAGTTTTCTATGTTTTGGGGGCGTTTGTAATAACACAATTATTCCACTCCCGCTTGTTGGATATGAAATGATCTCAGCCAACTCGGCGTCTCGTTGGCTCTCTACATCTCATATCCAACAAGCGGAAGTGGAATAATTGTTAATTACTAAGTATGGCTTGGAGCTTTTAATTAAAACTAATTAAATATATTTGCTTTATTATCTTTTAATAGAAAAACCACCAACAGTGGTGAAAGCAAAGAAATGTTATTTAATTACAGATAAAAAAATGACGACATGATTCAAAATGTCACCAGAATGACAATTTTGATTTCTTGACATCCTGTCTCAAGATCAACTTTAATGAATTGTAATCCACTTCCATTCTTGTAATCTTGTACTTCATTCCAATACTTCTTGCCCTATTTTGATCTGTAGAGTCTTTTTCCCAGTTCCTTTGCATATTTGGTGGCATTTGGCAGTGTAATATAGAAATTAGGATAGAAGAACGTTCGATGATCAGCCTGGACAGTCTAGCTTTAAATTAGCTTGAACGGAAGGCAAACTTGTTCACAAACTGAAGTAAACTATTGACGCAATTGAGATGAAGTTTGCTGATAAAGGAATGACAATTTGAACTAAATAAAGGAAGTTGGAAAACATGATAGTACGAGATTGCTGGATATGGCACAAGGACTGAGCAACTATAATTAAGAATTTTTCTTGAGCAGTTTTGGATCTGTTTTATTTCTCAATATGGTTCAGTCATTGACACAATTAAGGCAATTGTGGGTCATTCTTGACATTTCTTGTCTACTGTCAAGTGATCGTTAGGCCAATCAGTTGAGCACTGTTCAATTTCATCAACTCTCACATTTCTCTATTGACGGCACGCCCTGAAACATTTTGTTCAATCTTGAATTAAATTGGTTTTAAGGCTTTGAAACGGAGGGGGAGTTAAAAATTAAATTATAAGGGGGTAAAAGGGAGAGAATTTAACCAGGTATTATTTCTTTTCCCTTACCGCCGGTATTACGTCAACTTTCGGTTACATGATAAAAAAAAAAAAGGACGATTCCCGGGAATTTGTTGACTGAAACTTATAATTAAAAAATGACACGGTGATTTTTTTTGTATGTCATCAAATTTTGATTAGCAGGATGAGACACATCTTTTGGCAAAGTTTTAAAAAATATATGGACATGTGGTTCAGAGCCATCTTAAAGTTTTGAAAAATTAGGTAGTTTTGAAATCAATGTACAGATTTTTTTAAAACCTTGCCAAAAGTTGCATTTTATCCTACTTGTCAAAATTTGACATTATAAAAAATTTCACCAAGCCGTTTTTGAATTACAAGCCCTTAAAGCTATAAGCTGTTTTTAGCAGGTCATGTTGTTGCTATGGTCACCATAGTGTCACGAAAATGATAAAACGTGTTTACCAATGATTGGGCAGGTTTTAATGCGTAGCGCCCAGTTGGCTAGAATCATTTCATATCCAACAAGAGCGAGTGGAATAATTGTTTTATTGAAAACGGCCCCATAATATAGCAAACTAGACTAAAATAAAATAAAAACGCCCCCAAAAATAACGCGCATGC